TTATTGCTGCCTTCTCAGTCTTTATCCTGTGCCTCTGGTGACCCATTTAATCCTGCCAGATGTCACTTTAGCAGCCATGGACACCCCACAAATTTCCCCTGTTGTGCAGGCATGAACATTACCTAAAAATAAATATTTTAGACCTGGAACCAGGCATGAGTGTCCTTCTCCATGGTGGGGTCTGGTGGTGCAGGCTCACAATGCTGGGGTTGGTGGGGGACCCTGAAATTCAGTCACCAGTTACTCAAGAAGACCTGTTGGCAGTGGTCTGAGGAAGACCAGGTGGTTGGGCCTAGCAGTGGAAGAAGACAGTGGATAGCTCTGGCTGCAGGAAGATGGACCCTGCTCTGGGTTCCCTCTGAGTAGCTTACCTCAATCCATATCCTGACCCACTGACTACCACCTGGGGATCTTTCAGGGAATTCTGGTTCAAATTCCCAAGAAGGGAATCGTCCTGGATCACAAATGATCTCTGTTCCTGTTTGGACAGAGCCCAGAATGTCAGGCCACATAGTGGACCCTGGGCCTCCAATGGCTAGACTGCCCTGGATGTGGGCCCAATCCCTCTGTGGGACTTCCTCTCTGAGAGGCACAGGCTACTTAGACAATCACTCCATTTTACCCCCAGGCCATTAACAGTAATAGCAACTGTACTAATAATAGCCAATATTAAGAATTAATACATTGAGTTAATAATGATAGCCAATAATAACAAATAACATGATAAAAATAGATAATGGCTAATAAAAATAATAGTTAATACTAATAGTCTTTGCAAATCCATGACTGAGCAATTTCACCCCAGTATATATCCAAGAGAAATGCATACATACGTTCCCTAAAAGGCATAGGAAATAATATTTTTAGCAGCACTGTTCATAATTACCCCAAACTGCGCATTTCAAAATCAAACTTAGGGGCTGGCCCCGTAGCCGAGTGGTTAAGTTCGCGCGCTCTGCTGCTGGCGGCCCAGTGTTTCGTTGGTTCGAATCCTGGGCGCGGACATGGCACTGCTCATCAAACCATGCTGAGGCGGCATCCCACATGCCACAACTAGAAGGACCCACAGCGAAGAATATATAACTATGCACTGGGGGGCTTGGGGAGAAAAAGGAAAAAAATAAAATCTTTAAAAAAAAAATCAAACTTAAAGGAGCCCAAGACAAAAAGTTGTCTTAAAAGTAGTTGTGTTTTTAAAAATCACATTAACTTGAGGAACAACAATAAAACTGACAACGGAATTTTCAATAGAAATAATGGAAATCTGCATGCAGTGAAATATCTTTAACCTAATAAATGAAAGTAACTACCAATGTTGAATTTGGTGCACAGTGAAAACATTTTTCAAAAATGAAGGAAAATAAATCATTTTCAGACCAATAAAAGCAGAAGAAATTGGAAATATACAAATCACCTAATGAGAATATCAATTACTATGGAGAAAGTGCATATCAAATAGAAATTAAGGGGATTATAGACCTCTTAATTTCACATTTGAAATGGAGGTATGAAAATTTAAACAAAGAGTCCGGATGTTGAATTTTTAAAATTTTTTATTAATTTTTTTGGTGAGGAAGACTGGCCCTGAGCTAACATCTGTGTAAGTCTTCCTCTATTTTTTGTATGTGGGATGCCGCCGCAGCACGACTTGACAAGCAGTGTGTAGGTCCATGCCAGGGATCTGATCCTGTGAACCCCAGGCCGCTGAAGTGGAGCACAAAACTTAATCACTACACCACCAGCTGGCCCCTAGATGTTGAATTTTTAACTGGAGAAAAGTTATGTTCTATGAATATATCTGATTTGTCAAAAGGAGCTACTGACTTTGCTCTTACATATTCTGAAACTTTAAGTCCTGTAGAAATTCCATCTGAAATAGTTTTAAGAAACAGGCAATATTGATGTTTTGTAATATAAAATCAGCATTGTGTTTGGATCCTCTAAAATTGGTTCATGAATTTTACTTAGTGGAATCTTACCCAATTTGGAAATAGCCTTGAAAAACAATTTAACTATGCCAGTCACGTGGCATCCTGTAAAACAGTTTTCAGTAAGTTGCAGTTATTTAAAAATTATTTAAGATCACTTGCTCAAGAGAAATTGTCAAACATGCAATCTCTCAATAGAAAATGAGCTAAGCAAAGAAGTAGGTTTTGAAAATATTGTTCATGAGTTTGCTTCCATCAAAGCAGGAAAGTAAAATTATAATTCTGGTTTGAGTATAAATAAAATATGAAAGCATAAAATAATGTGAGTTTTAATACACCTGCTTTTCAGGTCTTTAATATTCTTCAGCTATTTTAATGTTCTAGAAAAGTTAACCATTAAAAAATACATTAAAAATGTATATAGGAGCACACATTTTTCCCCTTGCCTCAGGCTCCAAGTTGGCTGGGCTCGGCATAGTTACTCAGAAAGTTCTAATGTTGCTTTTTATTCATTTCACCTCTTCCCTCCTTTCTTGACTCCTTCTGATCGATTTAGAAGCACTCTGAGATCACCTTAATCCCACTTCAGATCCTTCCAAGGTGAGCTGATCCAGTTCAGGGTCCATTTAGGAAAAAATGGGAAGAGGAAGGGGTTACTACAACATAGGAGCCGAGAGGAAGGCCCTGTGTTGCTGAGGCTCAGACTTCTGAGAACAGGGCTCTGCTCAGCCGGTGCAGGTGTTCTAAATGGCCATGACAAGGCCTCTCTATGACAGCCAGAAGAAGTTAGAGAAGTTAGCCAACTGCCACTATGGAGCAGCACTGATAAGAACAAGAAAAACACGGAGGCGGCCAGATGGCGGAGCAGTTAAGCTCAGGCGCTCTGCTTTGGCCTGGGGTTCGTGGTTTGGAACACAGGGTGGATCTATGCAGTGCTTATCAAGCCATGCTGTGGCAGGTGTGCCACATATAAAATAGAGGAAGATGGGCACAGATGTTAGCTCAGGGCCTATCTTCCTCAGCAAAAAGAGGAGGTTTGGCAGCGGATGTTAACTCAGGGCTAGTCTTCCTCAAAAAACAAAACAAAAACAGGAAAAACACTCCTCTTTTCTCCTCTTGCTTTTCAGTTTCCCTCTAGCAACTCTTATTGGCAGAATGTAACAGGAAGCCAGCTAGGCATCTAGGAAATGGAGTTTCAAGAATTCGAGCCCCAGCCTCACAAAGCAGAGACTGGAAGGCTGGGGATCTGGAGTTGAGAGACAATTGCTTAATAACCAGGATTGCTGCAGGCTTAATTCACTCTTTCTCCTAGGGTGTATTCTTTTCTGTTCCAACTCAAAACTAAGTTCATCAGGTTTTTCCCTTACCTTGGTGGGCCCTGGACGCTAATCTGTCTCCCTAGCTCCACAAGCCCCTAGGGGAAGAAATAGCCCAAAGGCCAGGCCCATCTCTGGGTTTCCACCCTCCCTGGATCCTTGGGAAGTAATTTTTCGGTATCTTGTTAATTCCCTGATGCCTTCAAGAAGATCCTTTTTATATTTTGCCCAGCTTTTCTGGTTGTTGTCAGGAGGACTATAACTTTGATTTATTCAGTCAACCAAAACCAGATATTTGAAACTAGGTTTATGTATTATAGGATAATATTTTAAAAATTAACTACAAACATTATGCCCTCTCCTTTCATCTAAGACTAATACGAAAAATAGCTGTATGTGCAATGCTTCTGCACTTTTGATAAACTATTAGCGAAGTCACCATTCATTATGTTATTTAACATCACTTAAATGAAGAACTCCATGGCAGGTTGGCTCAGATATATAAGAGACCGGAATAAACATTCTCTCCTCCCTCTCCCTCCCTCTCTCTCTCTCTGTGCCATTCCTGAGAAAGCCAAAGCTGGAGGCAGCTGGTTCAGACTTGGTCCTTAATCCCAAGGCATGAGAAGGGGGCATCAGTGGACAGGGGGCAGGGGTCACCAGAGACCAAGGCCCTTGTTCTGGTGTTCAGAGGGGAGGCCCACTTATCAAGGAGCCTAGGAGACAGATGGAGATGCCAAAGGGAGACAACTCAGATTTCAGCCTGTGTTGTTGGCCCCTCTCAGCCTAGTAGGACCTGGTGCAGACCCAGAAGGCTCAGATGCCACCCAAATGCAGTTCTGAGATCAGTTATCCCTAAATCAGGGCTTTTTCTGCAGAAAAACCATGAATTATACCATCCAGACTTCTCATCAGCCTGGAAACCATCTTGTCTTGAAGGAAGACTTCTACCCCAGGTGAAGTCCTATGTCAAACAAGGCCCCTCATGCTCTTAGCCCCAGGGATCCTAACCTGACCTTTTCCCCCTACTCTATTCCTAAAAGGATCTTCCAGCTCCTCCCCCACAGTACAGTTGTACTGCCCAAACCTTGCCGTATTGGCCAACCTGGGATCCCTTCTCCACTCCCCTGCCCAATCCAGGTCCCATCCTCCCAAGCCTCAGCTACTGCTCTGGTGCCTTCACTAATCTCTTAGCACTGTGGCCAGCCCTCACTAGCACTACCCACAACTTCCCTCAGCCAGGATGATCATATTACAGAAAGAGACATTGACCAGGTAGTAGGTAACCCCCTTCCCAAGATGGCTACTATTAACTAATGTTAGTATGTATATCCCTCTAGTCTTTTTTTGTGGGTATATCAACATATGTACAGAAGGAAATTTCAATACTACATGCTAAAATAAAATAGTCTCCCATAAATATTTTTCTTAAATTTCATTTTATTTTTTTTAAAGATTGGCACCTGAGCTAACATCTGTTGCCAATCTTCTTTTTCTTCTTCCTCTTCTTCTCCCCAAAGCCCCCCACTACATAGTTGTATATTGTAGTTGTAGGTCCTTCTAGTTGTGCTGGTGGGACGCCACCTCAGCATGGCTTGATCAGCCGTGCCAGATCTGTGCTCAGGATCCAAACTGGTGAAACTCTGGGCTCTGGAAGCTGAGCACACGAACTTAACCACTCGGCCACGGGGCAGCCCTTTAAATTTCATTTTTCTTAAAAAATAGAGAAAGAATCTTTTTTCTGTCAGTCAAAACATACGCTAAGATCTAATTCACTCTTCTGAGTCGGGGCTTAGAATTTCATGGAACATTTGACCAGTTGGAAGGCGGGGCACATCCCTGTAAGTAAAACCCCACATGGACCTGCGACCTGTCTGGCTAGGCGTGAGATTAAAAAGCTTCCTACACAACTAGAAGGACCCACAAGTAAAAAAAATATACCACTATATACTGGGGGGATTTGGGGAGAAAAAAAAGAAGCAGCAGCAGCTTTCTGGGTCCCTCCCGGTTCCCCCAGTGCCCTCCTTCCCCAGGCTGTCTGTCGGTCTACGGAGCCCGGAGGAGCGGTAGGTGCAGGGCTAGGAGCAGGGACAGAGGGAGCCGGTGATGCGTCGCTAGCGCTTCCCGCAGAGGCCGGCTCAGCACACTGGGGCGCCCTCCTGTTGGGGGGCGGGAGGGCTGTGTCGCCTCCTGGCGGCCGTGCTGCGCCGCGGCGTTGCGGATCCCTGCTGGTCTGTCGCAGCGTCCTGCCTCCAGCTGCCTCACGAGGCTGCGCCTCTAGGTCACCTAAATCGACTGTCGGAACCCCATCGTCCCACTCTGCCCCTTGCCCGCCCCTCTCAGGCCCTCGAGACTGACCCCTCTAGCCGGCTGCCCAGCCCTGTGAAGCATGCGGCCAGAGGGCCTCGAGGGTCCCCGCGCGCTCGGCCAGCGGCCTCTGCTGCGTCTGCTGCTCCTGCTCCCCCTGCTGCCCTGGCCCGTAACCCGCGCTCAGACCACGCCGGGCGCTCCCGGCGCCCCGACAGCGCCGGGAGCCCCTAGTGCCCCAACAGCGCTGGACTCCCCTAGCGCCCCAACCACACCAGGCTCCCCCAGCGCCCGGACCACGCCAGGCACTCCCAGCGCCCCGAGTCTGTGGGAGCGCGCGTGTGCCCTGATGCAGGACTTCCCGCTCGTGGATGGGTACGTCGGTGCGGTGTGGGGGCCGGTGGGGGCCGAACTCAGCCCTAGGTAGGGAAGGGGGTCCTGAGTGTGCAGGGCTAGTGAGGAGACACCCTCATATCACCCCTCGATGCACTCTCTCCTCCATAGGCCCCTTCCTCCCATTACCCCATTCCTGGTGGACCCCACCCCTCAAAGCTGTGCCTCAGGAGGTCACCATACTGTCTGTGTGATGAGGGGAGGTGGGGTGGGACAGGACAGGCTCAGGCATGTTGACATGTCCTGCCTGACCTGGAGGCTGTGTACCCACTCTAACCTTGTCTTGACACCCCCAGCCACAACCACCTGCCCCTGCTCCTGAAACAGCTCTTCCAGAACAGGCTACAAGATGTTAACCTGCGTAATTTCAGTCGCAGCCAGACCAGCCTGGACAAGCTTAAGGATGGCGTCGTGGGTGCTCAGGTACCACAGGGACACATAGGGTGCCACAGCATGGCTGCTGAGAAATGTTGGGGCCACAGAAACCTGGGTAGGCAGGCCTCTGGGTGACTAGGTATCGCAGGACATAAAATGTGCCATCCTGTGGCTGCTGGAGCGTGGGGTGTTGGAGGCCAAGACAGGCCAGCCACATGGGTGCCCAGGTTCTGTGGAGACACACACAAAGTGACCAGAAGATCCCTGGTGAGTGTGGGGGCTGCTTGAACCACAAAGAACATGGTGGACTGGCCTTGGGGCATTCATATAGCAGCACATGGACAAACAGCAGGGGATGACCTGTCATGAGTCCACAGATTGGCTGCTGGCAGCAAGCTTAATAGTCATCAAGATACCCCAATGACCCCAAGTCATGGGGTCTTGCACTCAGGACCCCCTTCCCTACCTAGGGCTGAGTTCGGCCCCCACCGGCCCCCACACCGCACCGACGTACCCATCCACGAGCGGGAAGTCCTGCAGCCTCACCTGGGGCTAGTGACACAAATGAGTACCTTGGGCGCTGAGGAGGAGTGGCAGGTCAAGGGCTTTGGAGACTACCCTGATCTCATTCTGGACCCTGGGTTTACCTCTAGTTCTGGACAGCTTACGTTCCATGCCAGACCCAGGGCCAGGATGCCCTGCGCCTCACACTCGAACAGATTGACCTCATTCATCGCATGTGTGCCTCCTACTCTGAACTGGAGCTTGTGACTTCAACCAAAGGTGGGCTGGTGAATGGGGGGATAGTCAGGGACTCACTCTGGTAGTTCTGGCCCTAGGCTCTGACCACTTGATTATCTACCCTCTTCTAGGTCTGAGTAGCACTCAAAAGCTGGCTTGCCTCATTGGCGTGGAGGGCGGTCATTCACTGGACAGCAGCCTCTCTGTGCTGCGCAGTTTCTATCTGCTGGGAGTGCGCTACCTGACACTCACCCACACCTGCAGCACACCCTGGTGAGCATAGCACCTGGCCAGGGTGGAATGCTAGATGGCATGGTGGGGAAACTGCCAGAGAGGTGAGGACAGAGGGGTCCAGAGAGGGAGGCTGGACTCCCAGTAGGTCTCACACTCCTAGAGAGCAGCTGACCTGGGCCCAGTGGAGGTAGGCTGGATGGACAGAGGGACTGAGAGCACCCAGGCTCTGATGGCCAAGGTATGGCCCACTAGATTGCCCTCCCATGGCCATCCTGCAGGGCAGAGAGCTCCACCAAGTTTAAATACCATGTCTACACCAACGTCAGCGGGTTGACAAGCTTTGGTGAGGTGAGGACTCCTGTTCCATCCCCTACCCTGCCCATTCCCTGTAGATATGCGCACACACGTGTCCCTGACACCCTGCCAAAAAAAAAACCCCAAAACTGTCCCTGCAGAAGGTGGTAGGGGAAATGAACCGCTTGGGCATGATGGTGGACTTGTCCTATGGGTCAGACACCTTGGTGCGACAAGCCCTGAAGGTGTCAAGGGCTCCTGTGATCTTCTCCCACTCGGCTGCCAGAGCTGTGTGTGACACTTTGCTGAATGTTCCCGATGACATCCTGCAACTTCTGGTGAGTGGCCACCCCAGCCATCAAACCCAGGGCTTTGCGTGCTTCATACAAAGATCCTTGCTCCTGTACAAAGTTACTAGCCCAGACCTCACTCAACCTTGGATCTAAGGCTGAGTAACCCTCCCTATCTCCGAAACTCAAGGCCAAATCAGTTCCACCTAGGAACCCACAAACCCAGAGACATAAAGCCTCTTCCAACCCCTGAAACCAGGACTGAGCACTGTCCTACCAGGACCCCCAGGACACAGGAGGCAGGCCCTCAGGCCAGAAGGGCCAAGCTGAGTGTCCATTTGTTTATCCCTGTAGAAAAAGAATGGTGGCATTGTGATGGTGACACTGTCCATGGGGGTGCTGCAGTGCAATCTGTTTGCTAACGTGTCCACCGTGGCAGGTGAGCCCTACTTCGACTCCTTGTGCGGTTCTAGGTTGGGCCTGTGGCCCCTGGGGCCCTCGGGACAACTCCAGCGGTCCAGCACACCTGTTGGGCAATGGGCAGACCTCCCAACAACCCAGGGGAGCAACCACAGGTCTCCATTGCCACCCAGATCTGGGACCACATTCAATGCTAATGGGTTTGAGGGAGGCAACTGCTTCTGCCTCTGAGTCTCACTTTTGCTCCCACATTTCTGGACAGGACAGGCATATTCCCCAGCAGGCTTTCAAGGAACCCGGAGGCAGTGTGGCTCCTGGGCAGGAAAAGGTCCAAAGGGGTGGCTCTGAAGTCTACTCTAGGTCCAGTGTCCAGCCTGTAGCCACTTCAGAACTCACAAATGGCTAGGAACTCTGTGGAGTCACCTACCATGGCCTGGAGTGCTGTGAGCAGGAGAATTGGGGCCAGGGCTGAGCTTCCCCAGACCCTGGCTGATCCCAGGGTCTAACTACAGTCTAGAGTTGTCATTAATCCCCACCTCCTAGATCATTTTGACCACATCAGGGCAGTCATTGGATCAGAGTTCATCGGGATTGGTGGAAATTATGATGGGTCTGGCCGGTGAGTATTGCCCTGGGGTTTGTCCTGTCAAGTACAGTGGGGGGTGGGGGCGGGGTGCAATCCTTTAGTCACAGTTCCTTATCCTGTGGTCCTCCCATCCTTCAGGCCTAGACTACAGGCTCTGGTCTTCCATCCCACATGACATTTCCCCACTCCCAGGGCCTGTATCCTGGGCTTTCCCTGTCCCTCCTGTGGCCCAGTGCTCCCACTCCCACTCCATGTCATCATACTCGTTAAGTAATCCCCTTCCCCAGGGCAGAGCTCATCTGCCCAGCACATGCTCCACTCCCAGCCCAGCAGATCTGTTGTGGGCTGATCATCTGCTCAGCAGGTAGATGCTGCAGAAGCCCAGTCTTCCAAAGTTGCATTCAGTAGCCTGAAGAACATGGCCTTCAATTTGCCATATGTGGTTGGGGCTCATGGGAAGTGGGCCTTAGACTAGGATCAGGGCTGAAGTCTCACAGTAGGCTGGCTACACAGCTTCCCTCAGGGGCTGGAGGATGTGTCCACATACCCGGTACTGATAGAGGAGTTGCTGAGGCGTGGATGGAGTGAGGAAGAGCTCCAGGGTGTCCTTCGTGGAAATCTGCTGCGGGTCTTCAGACAGGTGGAACAGGTATTATGCTGGGCTGGGTAAAAGGATGGTTCAGTCATTTGAGCAGGTGTGGGGGGCTCTGTGGGAGCCACTGATGGCTGAATCTCATCTCCAGGTGAGAGAGGAAAACAGTGGGCAGAGTCCTGTGGAAGATGAGTTTCCAGACAGGCAGGTGGACAGGTCCTGCCACTCCCACCTCCTATCTCAGCCTCAGAGTGAACACCTAACCACACACAAGGAGGTGACCAAGAGGCCAACCAATCAGGTTCTCCAGAGACCCTTGAAAGCCTCCCCACAGCTCCTTCTAGGCCTCACGGTTGCTGCCACCTTCTCAGTCCTCACTCTGTGAGTCTGGTGACCCGGCCAGTCCTCCAGAGATCACTGTGGCAAAGTCTCACAAAGTCACGCTCCTAGTCTTCCTGGAACAAGCATATGCTGAGAATAAACATTTTGAGCATGGAGCCAGGTGTGAGTGTCCTTCCTTCTTCACAGAGGGAGTGGGCTCCGGTGGGCTCTTGGTTGGTGAGGTGTCTTGTGGTCTAGCCCTATTTGCTTAAGGTGAGTGGTTCCCATTGGCCTCCAGCTTTGTTTCTCTCCAGAAGGGCAGAGGCACATCACCATATTCTTATGCTAAAAGCCTGAGCCCACAGAAGAACACAAAGGAATCCAATTCAGTGTCTATCCCATCACGGAGTATGACGGTGGGTGCCTTCCCAGTCTCTCTCTGAAAGGTTAAACAAATTTTTTTTTAATTGAGGTAACATTGAGGGTATTATGCTAAGTGAAATAAATTTGTTTTTTTGAGAAGCTGATATCACTTATAGAATAAATAGTAACTTTGGAAATATCGAGAAAGAAAGTTTGTAAAGATTTTGGATTTTTCAGATAAGGTTTTCTGATTTTTTGTTAAATTGATTTTTTAATGGAGGGGGAAAATAAAGTCTGAAAGAGAAAAAAAGAACTTGAATAAAAAGGAAAGTAGTGCCATCTTCTTGGCTTACGACAGGCCCTCCATCTTTGGCCACTTTCATCTCCCAATCCACACGGGTGTGCTAGAGCCAGATCTAAGTTCCTTCCACGGGAACTTGAAATTGGGAGAAAGAGGGACTACAGTGCCACCTTTGTTATAAATCGTGTCCATATATGTGTGGGTCTATTTTCAAATTCTGTTCCATTTATTTGGACCATTTGTTTATTGTAGTATCAATACCACAGTGTCTTAATTATAGCAACTTTAAAACAAGTCTTGATATTTGGTAGAGTGAGTCTTCCCACTTTAAGAGTTATCATACCAGTCAGTGTTTGATCCGATAAGTAAATCTACTATGAATGATATAAAATAAGAGATTTATTATAGGGATTAGACCTTATACATATGTAGGAGCCAAAGGAAAAATCTATGCAAGGCTCTTTGTTACCTGTGTCTCTGGTGTTGGTACAGGTAAGTGGGCCAGAAGTTAGGAAAGAGAGCTAGATGTGAGGTGGAGGACAATGAGGATGAACCCATAAGGACAAACTGGGGCAACTGGATATCCATTTGGGAAAAAATAAAAAAGAATATTGACCCCTAGCTCACACCATAGGGAATACAAGATTCAAAATAAAATTAATTTGAATATGTTATTGATCCAAATGCAAACGGCAAAAGAATAAAACTCATAGAAGGTAGTGTAAGAAAATATATTTGTTACATCAGCATAGAAACACTGAACATAAAAAGCATTGATGACAAAGGAAAAGGTGGATAAATTGGATTACACTAAAATTAATAGCTATGTTTACCACAAAATACAATTAAAAAGAGTGAAAAAGCAAGCCATGGTTGGGGGGGGGGGGGATTTTCAACATGTATAATAGAAAAAAGGCTTGTATCTAGAGACAGACAATCCAATATAAAAATGGGCAAGACATTTAAATAGGAACCTTACAAGAAAGGATATCCAAATGGCCAATAAGAATATGAAAAGGTAGTTGACCTTATTACACACGAAGGAAAGGCAAAATAAACTCATAATGAAGATATCTGAAATTCAGCAGATAAACTATACCGAGTATTAGTGAGGATGTGGAAGAGCAGGCATTCTCACACCACGCTGGTGATAGTGTAAACTGATAAAAACTACTTTCAAAAACTGTTTGACATTATTCACTAAAGTTGAAGACATGTATATCCAAGGACTTAGCAGTTTCCCTAAAGACCCAGCAGAAATGCCTGCACGCATGTGCACCAAAAGACATGAACAAGTATGTTCAGAGAGGCACTATTTTTAATAATTCCAAGCTGAAGATAACCAACAGTAAAGAAATCCATTATGCTATATTAACTCCATGGAATAGTACATGGCAATGAAAAAGAACAAATTACAGTTACACATAACAACTTGTAAAAACGTCACAAAAAAAAAAAGCCAGGCACAAAATAATACGTATCATATTTTTCCATTTATAAAAAAGTACAAAAACAGGGGCCAGCCAAGTGGTGCAGCGGTTAAGTGTGCATGTTCCACTTCAGCGGCCCAGGGTTCGCCAGTTCAGATCCCGGGTACAGACATGGCACCTCTTGGCAAGCCATGCTGTGGTAGGCGTCCCACATATAAAGTAGAGGAATATGGGCACAGATGTTAGCTCAGGGCCAGTCTTCCTCAAAAAAAAAACACACACACACACGAAAAAAAAAAAAAAAACAGGCAAAACTGATCTATGCTGTGAAAGTCAGTTTAGGGTTAAAGTCAGCGTAGGGTTATCCTTGGGAGAGGTACTGACTGGAAGAGGGGCATGAGGAAGGGCTTCTGTGTTGCTGGTAAAGTGCTGTATCTTGATCTGGGTGCTGGTTACATCAATGTGTTCATTTTGTGAACATTTAGCATGCTATATACACTTATGGTATGTGGACTTTCCTGTATTGATATTTTTCTTCAATAAAAAGTTTTTAAAAATAACAGAAAAGGCTAAACTTAATGTTCAGGAATACAAGCTCAGGTCATGTCTTTATACAGGAAAACAAGAAAGTGATTGTCATCAAATTTGGGTCATTATCTGAAAAGTGCCTGTGTCATACAATGTTAATATATATCAATTATATCTCAATTTTTTTTTTTTTTTTGAGGAAGATTAGCCCTGAGCTAACATCTGCTATCAATCCTCCTCTTTTTTGCTGAGGAAGCCTGGCTCTGAGATAATATCCGTGACCATCTTCCTCTACTTTATATGTGGGACGCCTACCACAGCATGGCTTGCCAAGCGGTGCCATGTCTGCACCCGGGATCCAAACCGGAGAACCCTGGGCTGCCAAAGTGGAATGTGCGCACTTAACCAGTGCGCCACTGGGCTGGCCCCTATATCTCAAATTTTTAAAAAAAGACCTAAGAAAAAGTGCCTGCATTTGGTGGGGAGACATACTGTGGCAATTGGAGGAGGCATGAAGGAGCTTCTGGGGTCCTGGCAAAATCTGTACCTTGACTTGGGGGGTGATTATTTAGATGTTTACTTTGTGATAATACGTTGAATTGTCACATAGTGTAAACAGCCCTTCCCCGACCCCTCCCAACACTCCCCAATCTCCAGTTCTGTTCTCCCAGCCACCACTTTCAACACTTTTAACTGTTAGTATTTACTGGTATTTTCTTCCATATTTCTAAATAATATATCTAACTGCCAGCTCTTTAGTCATAAATTTTAGATATCATTTATTGACTTAGTAATTTGAAAAATGAGGATTTTTAGTTCTCTTATTCTCCTCTTCTCCTCCTACCATTCTCTAAATATTAGAATTATTTGGTTAATTACGTAATGGGTTTTTTGTTTGTTTTTAAACAGTTTTATTGAGATATAATTCATACCATACAGTACACCGATTTAAATTGTAGAGTTCACTGGTTTTTGTTTACTACATTTTTTCTTTTAATGTTTCTCTACCCTCTTGGAGTGCGTGTAGCCTTATCAGCCTTGACATCTGAACCAAATTTTCGGGAGAGTGAGTTTATCTCGCTTCTACAAGGTGACCTCAATGCTTTGTCAGGACAATTGTTATTTTGTCTGGGGCTAATCTAGCCTGACTGCTAAGGCAATGCCCTTCTGAGGATTCTAGCTAATGTCCCATATATTAAAAGGTCTTTCACTTTAGCTACTGGGAACATAAACTATGTGAGCTCCAGGAATTGTTTAGCCTACTTCTTTCCAGTGGTTCTTTCTCCAGTCTTGAGTAGCTTCCTCTCATGTATGTAGGTATCAATCCTCTGGCCGACTCAAGGGGACCCTCTCCAGATCTCAGGACCTCTCTCTTTGTGCAGCTTCCTCCTCTATCATGTTCTGCCCTGCAAATTCTAGCTGCTTTGGCTTTCCCAAATACTGATATTTTTTTCTCCTCAATTCAGCAAGACCGTTGGGTTCTGTTTAGATTCTCCATTCTTCCTCCCACTCCCACACTGTGGCCTGGAAATTATCTCTAGGCAATAAGCTAGTGCAATACAGGGCTCACTTCATTTATTTCCCTTTCATCTGGGATCACAGTCCTGTACCACCTATTGTCTAATGTCTGCAAATCATTGTCCTACATTTTGTCAAGAGGTCTATTTTTTTTCCACAGAAAGGTATATTTGGCCCGTTATGCCATCATGGTTGGAAACAGAAAACAACCAATAATCAGTTTTTGTAAATGTTCCAAGTATACTTGATAAAAATATGGAATTTTCCAATTGTTGGATGTAAAACTATATGTATGTCCATTCGGTCAAGTTCATTAATTGTATTATTAAAATCTTTTACATCTTTGCTGTTTTCTTCTTGACCTATTTGTAACCACGACAGTTGTGTCGACATCTTCCATTGTGATGGTGTATTTATCAGTTTCTCCCTATAGTTCCAGCAAGTTCTTTTTATTAAAGTGAAATTCACATACTACAAAATTAACCATTTTAAAGTGAATAGTTCAGGGGTCGGCCCCATGGCTGAGTGATTAAGTTTGCGTGCTCTGCTTTGGTGGCCCAGGGTTTCACTGGTTCAGATCCTGGGCATGGACCTAACGCTGATCATCAAGCCATGCTGAGGTGGCGTCCCACATGCCACAACAAGAAGGACCCACAACCAAAATATACAACTATGTCCTGGGGAGAAGAAGGAAAAATAAAATCTTAAAAACATAAATAAAGTGAATAACTCAGCGGCATTTAGTACATCCATGATATTTGCAACCACCACCTCTATCTAGTTCCAAAACATTTTAATCATTCTAAAAGGAAACACTACACCCATTAAGCAGTCACTCCCCATCCTCTTTGTTCCCCCAACCACCAATCTGCTTTCTGTCTCTACAGATTTACTTATTCTGGATATTTCTTACAAATGGAATCAAACAACATGTGACCTCTTGTGCCTGGCTTCTTACATTGAGCATAACGTTTTCATACCTGTTGTACTTTTCCTCCACTTTTATTTTAGTCTTTTTCTGGGATTCCCATTGTGCAGATATTAGAACTTCTATTTCTATCCTCCATATCTCTTTTCTACTTTTTATTTCTTTGTTTTTTCTTTCTTCTCTTGGGAGGAGTCCTTAATTTGGTCTTTCTAATTTATTAACTCATTCTCAGTTATAACTTTCTGCTATTAGATCACCTATTGTGTTCTTTGTTTCAAATATTGTGGTAATTTTAATACATGGTCCTGTATTTCTTTGATATTTCTCCCAT